GAAGTACATATTGTAGTCCCTGCCCGCTTATTTTAATGGAAGATGCTTATATATCCACAGCACAAATCTTACCCATGGTGCTTTCAGGATTATTTTAACCCAGAAGCACATAGAATGTCCCTTGTTCCAAGTGTTATGTGTAAAAGTAAAGTCAATATAGTTCTACTTTGACAGGATGGGCAATCAGATCCTGTCAGACTCCTATTGATTTCAGTGCAGTGGGATCAAACACTAAAACAGCAATTACAAAGGTCAGAGCCAAGTCACTGTTCTTTCCAGGAATGAGTGTTTAATACTAGAAGTGAAGAAAGGAATTCAATCAATCACAAAAGCCTCCTGTTGATAGCTAGTATAACAAAATACAGATAAGTCACTAAGCAAAGTCTTTCTACCTAACCGAACATTGGTTTAAGAGCACCAGCAAACTTGGAAAGACTTCTTTATCACTTTTCTTTCTAATGGAGAAAGTGACTGATTTTATAGTTAAAAAAACAGGGTTAATACTAGGAGGAGGGCTGAATTTGAGAGAGACCCATATCTTATAAGATATGATAAAGCCATTTAATTGCTATTAAAACTAGCTTATTCTCCAATAATAGAAAGCTATATCTTTAGTATAATTTGGGTCACACAGCTTAATTACAATATAAGGTCTCCCTTCCCTTTAATATGAATCATGGCTGAGATGGCTATATCTCTTCAAGCCTCCCCTCTATCCTATAGACATGAGGCATACCTGGGGAGCTGGAAGACTATTCCACCCACCACAGCAGCCCCCATTAAGCACAGGCCAAGGCTACAGCCACCAAATGTGGGTGAAACAACTGAACTCAGTAGGTATGCAGTACCAGATGTTCACAGGGGCATTTCTCTACAAGCAGAAGTAAGGTAATATTTGTTCTTTGAAAAATCAAAGAGTTTATCCATCTCCTGTATCTTCTCCTCCACCTCGTGTTAGGTCAGACAGTAGTGTGAACTAACTAGATTTGCATTTTAAGACTCTGGATCAGGAAAACTCTTATGCCCCTGCTTGCTTACATGCTTATGTGAAAATGAAGTCCTAAAACTGATTGGATCCTTCAGTCCTGGGGCTTTTGACAGAACAAGTAACAGTTTTGATAGTACTTACACCTTCTGCCTCTTTCATAGATTATAGAGTTGGAAGGGACCCAATGGATCATTGTGTCCGACCCCCTGCCCCTGGCAGGAAAGAGGACCGAGGTCAGACAACCCCAGCCAGGTGATTGTCAAGCTTCCTCTTGAAGAAAGGTAGCTGTTGGAGAATGTGGGCAGCAATCCCACTGCCTCTCACACGCAAAGTGAGTGCTCTACCATCTGAGCTAATTCCCCTGCTAAAGCAGGGGCTTGGGCACACACCCAGCCTTGAACTCTCAACCCTTTTTTGGGGTAAAACTGAACACCTACACCACTAGGACACCTAGCTAGGTCAAAAAACATTCCCTGACTGGGAATCAAACCCAGGGCGTGGCAGTGAGAGTGCCAAATCCTAACCACTAGATCACCAGGGAAGTGATTGCTCTGTTTGTCCATTTCAGTTTCCTGTCTTGCGAGCAGGGGCTGTTAATCCCCCCATGGTATCATAGTTTCATAGTTTCATAGTTTTAGGGTCGGAAGGGACCTAATAGATCTTCTAGCCCAACCCCCCGCCAGGGCGGGAGAACAACCCAAAAAAAAGAAACACAAACCCTAAAAACAAAAACGGGACTCAAATGAGTCCAGCCAGGTAAGTATCCAGCCTCTTCTTAAAGATCCCCAGGGTAGGGGCCAGCACCACCTCCCTTGGAAGTTGGTTCCAGCTCCCCTAGTGAGTTTATAGACGGTCACCAGGTCCCCCCTCAGCCTTCTCTTGTGGAGGCTGAATAGGTTCAAGTCCCGCAGTCTCTCACTGTAGGGTCTGCCCTGTTGTCCCCGGATCATGCGGGTGGCCCTCCTCTGGACCCTCTCCATGTTGTCCACATCCCTCCTGAAATGGGGCGCACAGAACTGGACACAATACTCCAGCTGCGGCCTGACCAGCGTCGCATAGAGGGGGAGGATCACCTCCCTGGCTCTACTCGAGATGCACCTGTGGATGCACGACAAGGTCCGGTTAGCCCTGCCAACCATGACCTCGCATTGTCGGCCCATGTTCATCTTGGAGTCAATAATGACACCAAGATCCCTTTCCGCCTCCGTGCTCTCAAGTAGGGAGTTCCCCATCGTATAAGTGTGCTGCTGGTTCCTACTACCCAAGTGCAGCACCCTGCACTTGTCCGTATTGAAACGCATCCTGTTCCTGTCTGCCCACCCCTGTAACCTATCCAGTTCCTTCTGCAATCTCTCTCTCCCTGCTAGCGTGCTCACCTCCCCCCAAATTTTGGTGTCATCAGCGAATTTAAACAGGTTGCTTTCCACCCCAACATCAAGATCGCTGATGAAGAAGTTGAACAGCGCAGGCCCCAGGACCGAGCCCTGGGGGCCTCCACTACCCACCTCCCCCCAAGTCGAGTATGATCCATCCACCACCACCCTCTGAGTGCGACCCTTCAGCCAATCTGCAATCCATCTGACCGTGTAGGCATCTATGCCACAGTCGCCTAGTTTATTAATTAGGATGGGGTGAGAGAAGGTGTCAAAGGCCTTGCTGAAGTCCAGAAAGACTACATCCACCGCGACACCTGCGTCCATGGCCTTTGTGACCTGATCATAAAAGGCGATCAGGTGTCTACCTGCTCCTGAATTGTTATCCTTTCTGTTTCTCAAAGTCATCCCCTTCCCTTCCTTTGACAGATGTTGGGTTTCCAGTCCATGTGAATGAAATTGCTGCTGCTTCACTCCACCAAGTCCATCCTGCTTCCTGCCCTCTCTAGACTCGCCAGACCTAGGTAGAGGTGTGTGTATGAGATGGAAGTGTTGTGCTGCTCTGCCTATGCCCTTCACTCAGTGTTTCCTTTATCACAATCAAAAAACAATAATCAGATCTTGCCACGATAACCAATTCTTCTCTGCTGTAAGTTGAGTCAATAGTGTTACATCCAGAATGAATTTAGCCCAGTTTGTGTAGCATACCTGAACAATGTCTGAATTTGATATATTAAACATTTAGAAAGTATTACACTGACAAGCATCTTAAAGCAGTAAATGCCCAGGAGCATGAAGAATTGCTCCTGAAAGTACAATTTAGTTTTGTGCTTATCATGCTATAACACAGCAGGGGCAAGCTTCTCTCACAAGTATCCTGCATTACCACAAAGGCTTTCAGGTAGAAACTTCAAAGCCTCTTCAATGACTTGTGATGCTAGGTTGCATGGACTTAGGTAACAGAGGCTCATAATGGCTAGATCTGACAATCAAAGCAGAGTTAGACACACAAGCTAATGCATGGGAGGAGTTAGGCACTATAGAATGTGATCCAAAATACCCAGCAAGCTGAGGAAGGAATGACCTAGAGCTGCTCTACATGAAGGGATGCACAGAGGAGTGGGTCAAGCCTCTGTCCCCTTTAGAGTTTAGGGACCCAACTCAGAACTACAGGAAGGTGACTGACCACATCCTCTTGGGATCCACAGCCAAGAACCTTCTCCTCCGGAGGGGAAGCGCTTACAATAAAGTGGAAAATCCAGACCAGATCCCTGCTTCAGCCAGAAGGGGTTCAAGCCCATCTCTCCCATACCCCATCAAGGTGCCCTAGCCACCACTCTATAGTCTAGTCTTGATAAAGGCCTTCTCCACTAAAACCGTGCAGCAAGGAATGGGAGAATCCTAAGGCTGTAGAGATCCCAACATGGATCATAAGTCTGTACATAGGTAATTATGTAAAATGGAAGAACCCTGGATTCTGGCCCTTGGTCCAAACTCTATTATCCAATGGATGTTTAATACAAACCACATAACATACAGACAACGTGCAAGGAAAAGAGCCAGAATTTAGGACTCCCTACTTTAACAAGTGGCACAGTATCAACAGGACAGGTGAATGATTCCCCCCACCCCCAATCTAAATTAGCCTATGACTAGTAGCTAGGGCTCTCTCCTGGGAACAAGGAAATGTGGGTTTTAGCCCCATCAAGTCAAGGAGATCATTGAATCCAGGTCTTCCCCTTCCTGGGTGAATGTACTAATCACTAGGCCAGGGGTGACCAACCTGTGGCACGCAGGCCACAAGTGGCATGGGCAACCACCATGTGTAGCATGCAGAAGACTGGGGAGGTGCAGTCAGCACAGTGGCAGATGGGGAAGGGAGAAGGAAGCAGAGCAACAGATCTGGCAGGAAGCATAGGGCAGAGACCATAAAGTAGAGCAACAGATCAAGCAGTACTTGAAGAGGACCCGGTGCTTAATTTGTGGCATGCCTGTCCAAAAGGTTGGGCCCCACGCACAAAGCTATTATATCCGAGGTAGTGCTGCCTTAAACAATATCACCTCTTTCTCCAGCTGCATCTTAAAAGTAGCTGGCCACCTCTACATTTTGTGAGGTGCTCAGCCCTGGCAGCATGTGCTTCCTGTGCTCTGAAGGTGTTTATAGGACTGGGCCCCTCAGGGGACTTATGTGGAGGAGTGCCTACTTTCTGGATCCCAATCAGACTTACATGGGTGTGAAACAGATGCTGGGCTGCTGATTCTCGGACAGTTCTGGACATGAACTGTAGGCTCCTAGGGAACTTCAAAGTGATAGAAGGAGGTGTCTAACATATTTAGGCATCTCTAGATTTAATCAGCAGCTTTTGCAAGGGCATTTTTGGACTGTGAGTCTGGACCTGGGCTTGGACAAAATTGAAAGGCCTATATCCTTTATTGCATATATGCTTAAGTACCTATGTTAGTTTTGAAAAATTGTACTTTCCCCAAATCTAATAACTGGGAAAATGTCCTTTCTTCCCCAAGGTTTATTCTTCAAAAACCTGAATATTCTCTGTGCTTTTCTTTTAGGTCATTAAAGATTTTTAATCCACTTTATCTTTCAACCAAGTTGTTGCAGACTTTTCATGCTGTGTCAACATAAGGATTGCAAGGAATTTTGGATTAAAAAATAGTTATTTGACTCTTTGAGATGGAAAGTACAATATTAGGATGCTAAGCAGTACAGAAGTTGCTGTATGTGTTGGCAGACTACAGAAAATATTGGACAGTAGCTCAAAGATAAAAATAAAAAGTTAGGGTGAGAAGCACCTTCTATTGCAAAATTGATCGGGTGTTATGTAACAGTCATATGGATCTCTTGTGAAAATCCATGAGAGAGAGCAAAAGTCTAAATGTTTGCAAAACCAGTAGGGAAAAGGTAGTCAGGAACAGAGCGCTAATCCCCATCCACAGACTCATGTTTTCTGGGATCTACTGTAGTAGACCAATTCTCCAAAAAGGATCATTCTTTAAAAGGGGAGGAGAGAGAGAAAGAAAGTAGTTTCATTTCACATTTGCCTCTTACCAAACTTCGCAACAATTCATTGACAGACACGCAGTACAGTCTGTGCTGTCAGGAAAGTGACAGCTTCTCTTTCACCCTTGGGCAGCACATGGAAATACTGCTGGTTTATAAGCAGAATTCTAAAAATAACGTTTCTTTAAAATTTAAGGGTGCTATGACTCAGGCATCATTCTGACAAACATGATCCTGAACCCCTGATGCATTACAGTCAATTAGTTATGGCCAAATACGAAATTATGGGAATTCTGGATTTAAAAAAATACATAGGAATCTAATAGAAAAAAAATAAGTCACATGTAAAAACAAAAGGCAGCTGAGATAATTTGTGAACCAGTCAGTGCTGCTCTCAACTAGGCATTCCATCTGAGTTTGGAGATTGATTGTCCAAGTTTTGAGACTGTCAGATACAAACAACTGATGATGAATATTCGGCCATCTCACGCACTCTCGTTCTAAAGCTTTGCGGGCTGGAAAGACTGCTATCGTTATGACACTGGAGATGGGCTCAAATCCCAGTGTTGCCATAGGCTGCACTATCGATTTCTACCTTTGCTTGGGGCATTTATATGCTACTGTAAGAAAAAAGCAATCACCTTTAAAATATACAGTCAGACTAAACTGGACTTTGAGGTGATATCCAGGACCCAATGAAATTAAGAGGATTATTGACACTGGTTTCACAGAGTCAAGGGCTTACCCTTCGTCCTTGCTAAACCAGCCTCTCTATTTTTCCAGTACTTGATCAACTTTACCAAGTGGGAAATTATTTCATTATTTCATTATATTTCATATTATGTCATTATTTCAGTAATGAGGAGTCTCTCCCATTTCAGACTACAGCTGAAACCAGCTCTGCTAATAGTTGCTACACAACAGATGTGACCACTAAGTACTTTGAAAGAAACCAACTTGTTTGTTTGCTCGGGAAACTAAAACACAAGACCCAGAAATGAACAGAAAGAAAAATGCAGCAAAAACCTGTAGGTGAGATATTTACCTCAGGTTTTTTTTTTCCATGCCCATTCCACAACTACCTAATTATAACACATATGTGCAGTAAGCAGAGCATATTTTACTACTAAACTACTAAACTAACGGCACCAC